GGGAGGGGAGGGGAGGGGGGAGGGAGAGGGAGGAAGTAGGGAAGGAAGCTCCTGATTCTCATTTGCTATTGACCACTTTGCAGACTAGGTATTTCGTTGGTAATTCTACCTGGAAGCCTTTGGAAATTCCAGCAAATCCTCTTAGGTGTAGGGTTAAGAGGGTGGGAAATAGGGGGAGAAAGACCATGGACTCATACACTCTTGAGCTGAATATGATTAATTCTCGCGCGTTCAATGTGATTCCCTCTTCCCACCCCCTTTTCACTTACATCAAATAGGTCTGATGAAGAGGGGCTGAAGTGAGGGAAACTTTCTAAAACATTTTGTTTTGTTTCATTTTAAATACACAGCAGGTTGAAACTACTGAGTTGCTCAGCTTGATAGAACGTGGTAAAGGAAGAGGAAGGGGAAGGGGAGATAAGATTAGATAATGGAGGCTTTGACTATCAGAGAGAGAATTTAGATTTTCCGTAGTAAGCAGCACAGAAAATCCTGGATTTGGAAGCTTTTGTTTTCTAATATAACTAGATTCCTAATTAGAGGAAATATGTTGAAACAGGATAGTATTTTTTTCTAGTTATAGAAATAAATCTTATGCATAGAAGATGTTAAGGGTTATTGTTCTTTTTTATTCTTAACCTCTTTGAAGAGCTATGTTATGTTCAGTCTATAGTTTCCCTAGATTATTATTGGAACAGTATTGTTAGGGGAGTTAATCCCAAAATTAATTCCAAGAGAGTCAACAAAAGTGCAGTCCAGCCAACATTTGATGTATCCAAACAGACATTTACATATTGCGACTGTCCCTCCAACCAGAATTCATTTCCTTTCCCAGTTTCACAAAGGAAATATTCTCTCCTGATGTTTCCCTTGATATGGAAGGTCAAAGAATTAAGTGTTCCTTTTCTTTTTGAAAGCATGTTCAACATGGGGGCTTTTGATATCTTGCTGCAGCCCAGCCATCGTCTAAATCAGATTTTAATAATATCATGACCCATACCCCTTTGTTTCAAAATTATTTTTTGTAGGAATTCAAAGGTAGGGTAGTGTCCATCTAAATACTGATTTTTTTTTTTAACATCTTTATTGGAGTATAATTGCTTTACAATGGTGTGTTAGTTTCTGCTTTATAACAAAAGTAAATCAGCTGTACATATTAAATACTGATTTTTTAAAAGACTCTCTTTCTTTTGCCTTTTCTCCCTTCTCCTCAGAAGCTGAAAGGAGATATTAATGAAAGGGTTAACAGCCTTTAAAAAGTCCATTCTAAAAAGTTTCCTGCATTTAGGTTTGCTCACTTCTTCCCCCACTGGATTATGACAGTATGAATTTAGTAGCATTTCATCTCAAACAATTCTATTTTTGAGCAATTAACATTTCTATTTTTCAGGTCACTTTAAACCATCACATATGTGTACTAAAAGTATTTTAATAAAATTATATTGACTTACAATTTTGACTTTAAGATGATTCATAAAGCAAGATTCCAATCTAAATTAAATGCAATCGCAAGAAATAAATTTGGAAAGTATGTAATTTTCATCTTCTTTCAAAATTTTAAGGACATGTTTTCATTGCACAGTGTCCCATAATTACATTAGTAGTAGCTACTTGTTATTGAATGCCCAACTCTGCCAGGCGCTGCTTTATAGAAAGTACAGTTGACCCTTGAACAGTATGGGTTGGAACTGCGCAAGTCCACTTATATACATATTATTTTCAAGAAATACATACTATAGTACTACATGTCCCATGTTGCATGAATCTGTGGATGTGGAACTGTGGATACAGAGGACCGACTACAGAGTTATATGTGGATTTTCAACTGTGCAGAAGGTCAGTGATCCTAACCTCCACGTTGTTCAAGGGTCAACTGTATAATAAAAATTCCTGTGAGATAAATGTGACAGCTGCGGACTGAACTGTGTTCTCCCCAAATTCATATGTTGAAGCCCTAACCCTCAATGTAACTGTATTTAGAGACAGAGCTTTTAGGAAGTCAGTAAGGTTAAATGAGGTTCATAAGGGTAGGGTCCTAAAATAATAAGATTAGTGGCCTCATAAGAAGAGAAGAGAGGGCCTTCCCTGGTGGCGCAGTGATTAAGGATCCACCTGCCAATACAGGGGACACGGGTTCGAGCCCTGGTCCGGGAAGATCCCACATGTCACGGAGCAACTAAGCCAGTGCACCACAACTACTGAGCCTGGGCTCTAGAGCCCATGAGCCACAACTACTGAGCCCGCATGCCACAACTACTGAAGCCCACACTCCTACAGCCCATGCTCAGCAACAAGAGAAGCCACTGCCATGAGAAGCCCACGCACCGCAATGAAGAGTGGCCCCCTCTCATAGCAACTAGAGAAAGCCCGCAAGCAGCAAGGAAGGCCCAATGCAGTCAAAAGATAAATTTAAAAAAAGAGGGTCTTCCCTGGTGGCGCAGTGGTTGGGAGTCCACCTGCCGATGCAGGGGATGTGGGTTCGTGCCCCGGTCCGGGAAGATCCCACATGCCGCGGAGCGGTTAGGCCTGTGAGCCATGGCCGCTGAGCCTGCGCATCGGGAGCCTGTGCTCCGCAACGGGAGGGACCACATCAGTGAGAGGCCTGCGTACCGCAAAAAAAAAAAAGAAAGAAAAAAGAAGAAGAGAGAGAAATCTCTTTCTCTCCTTGTGATGTGTATGCACTTAGGAAAGGACATGTGAGGATCTTGAACTTCTGACCTCCAGAACTGTGAGAAAATAAATTTCTGTTGTCGAAGGCATGCAGTCTGTGGTATTTTGTTATAGCGGCCTAAGCTAATATATGACTTCCCATTTTGTGGATTAGGAAGCAAACAGAGGTCAGTGGCAACGCTAACAGTTGAACCTGATGTGTCTGACTACAAACAAAAGCACTCTCTTTGAATTGCCCTCTGAATTTTGAGTCTGAAAATAATTAATATAGATAGCTCTTTAAAAAAATACCAAACCCTTCATCTGTTGTTGGTTCGTATAGGCATACCTTGGAGATACTGCAGGTTCAGTTCCAGACCACTGCAATAAAGCAAGTCACATGAATTTTTTGGTTTCCCGGTGCATTTAAAAGTTATGTTTACACCATACTGTCGTCTTTTAAGTGTGCATTGTTTTAAAAATCAACGCACATACCCTTAATTAAAAAATGCTCCATTGTTAAAAAATGCGAACTATCATCTGAGCCTTCAGTGAGTCTTGGAAGTAACATCAATGATCACTGATCACACATCAGCGTAACAAATATCATAATAATGAAAAAGTTTGAAATATGTGACACAGAGACACAAAATGAGCAAATACTGTTGGAGAAATTGTGCTGATAGACAGACTTCCTTCACGCAGAGTAGCCACCAACCTTCACTTTGAAAAAATACAATTATCTGTGAAGTGCAATAAAGCAAAGCGTAATACAATGAGATGTGCCTGTATTTTTATTTGCACTCGGTTTAGCAGAAACACACAAAGCCAGTTGATTTCGTTCAGTACATATCATCTGATTTTTGTCTTTTTGTACGTTATTATTTGAGCTCTCAGAATTTCAGGTTAATGTTGAAAAATGTAGCCAATCTTTCTGAAAGTACAATGTTCAAAAATCCAAGATTTACTATCGCTGTTTTTGCTTTTTGTAAAATGTATTAAATGCAAAATATCCAGTTTTGTGCCTGAAACTAATTGGCAGTATCCCATTAAACTATATTAAAATTAACATCTATTAATTGGATTAGAAATTCAGTGAGAATGACAGCTGCTAGTGCCTTTTACAGTTACTTTGTTTCTCTATAATCCATATGGCAGGAATCACATAATGCTTTTTCCCCCTTGGAAATAAACACTTGAGATAAAATGATCTGACTCAGTGTGGTCAGGGTATGTGCACTTGTTTTCTTTTTAAAAATTTTTGTAAAAGCTGAGCTATCTTTTTTTTCCTCTTTCACAGGTTTTCACCAGCCATATTTTTATATCTGATTAGCATTGTTCCATCATTATGGCTTCTTGAAATGCACCATGAGACCCAGGTATGTCCTTTTGGAAAGCAGGGAAGTGGAATACTCAGCAATAAACTACATTCACATTATAATCCAATTTCTGACAGAAATGCACTTTTCTAAGGAGCTGGAGTTATCAAGATTTGCATAAGTAAGAGGCCTCAGCAAAAAGGAAGTGAATCCATGATCTGTAAAACCCCATGAAAATGTTGCATTCATTTAAGATTTAAGACTACGTCATTCATTAACAATTGGGGTTAGAGATCTTGTTCTCAAGACTTCCCCTCCAATATGCTACAGTTTACATGGGGATATACAATTCTGGTTTTAACCCTTGCCGCTTCAAAGAGTTATTGTGCTGAGAACGGGCAGGGCTCAGTCATCTAGCATCCTATAAAATGACATTTTTAGGGACAACAGAAACAAAAAAGAAACCCCATCATCTCTACTCAGCTATACAAATACAATCAAACTTGGAGGGGCTATTTGAAGTGGTCTGTCTTAAAATACAGGCTTTGCAGGTTACAGGACATTCACTTTTGAGGGTCCTATGAACTGTCTCAGTAAAATAGGAATTTCACCCTAGGGACCCGAAATAAGGGTAAAGGAGAGGAGCCAGGGGACCCACCGTCAGGAAGGGTGGGCTCTCTGTTTTAAGACCACACTGACCTAGAAAAAGAACAGTGGGTTCCAATAAGAGTCCCTAATCTATATTAGGGAGATACAGAGGGAGGTACTGAGTTTTAAGTGAGTTGCTTTTTGCCTGGGCAACCCTAGGTAGCAGGCTCTAGGCTGGATTCGGTCATTGATTGTTGTAAATGCTCCTGTACAACACTGCGGGGGGGAGGCAGTTGGCGAAGTCCATCAGACTGCAGCCTGGATGTCACATCTTCAGGGTGCAGGTTACAGGTTCATATGTTTTACAGTAGTTAGAATATTATTTTAGGACATTTACTGGTAAAATCTGTGAGACTGTTTCACAGATTTCTTTGCTACAGTTGGTCATTTTATAGCAAAGTTAAGCCTCTGATATATGTTTCAGATATTCAAACCTTATCTGGAAAATGCGTGCTCCAAATTTTAGGCACACAGAGGGGAATTTAGTTCTGTAGACTACTTCTGAATTCCACAAGCATGTACCAATGATGTAGGCATGAAGAAAACATTTGTCTGCCTAAATCTCCTGTTTAAAAAACACTGAAGTCAAAGACTCTCTATATGTTTGTAGCAAAAGTATTTTTGTCACAGTAGATTGGTTGGTTCAAGTTATCATAGCTTTTAAAAACCATACCATAAGGATTAGGGGACTGTTTCAATTTCCTTACTACTTACTGCTTTCAAGGATATGAAAATAAGCTCTGGTGATTTGAATCATTTTTTTCCTTCACATCTAATTCTATGACGTGGCTATCATCCACAATAACAATTCATTTCCCCAAATGCTTTTATAAAATAAATGTGTTGCACAGTTAATTGATATACAGGTCCAATCCTATTACAACAAATAGCATGCAACCAAAAGCTCTCTTTTTAAGAAAAAAAAGATTTTTGAGCCCTGGGCAGTACCTCTCTAATTTTCATACTACAAAAGAAATTGGACCTTTAGCAGTAATGGATTTGACTCATTTTGACACTGAGAATTAAAACGAATGCCCAGTGATTGAATTGGGCAGGCTGGGCAGAGAGAGACGTAGAAAAAAGTGAGAGAGAGACAAAAAAAGTATTGGAATTGCGTTTAAAGAAATAAGAAATGGCAGAATAAAGGGAGGTACAGAAATTCTTAGCCCATTCATGTAGGAAATTTTGGTTATGATAATCATCACTTTTTTCATATAGTCCCTTTATTTTGAGGTATTTTCAGATACATTTTCTCATTTATACACCCAGCAACTTCTTAAGTTAGACATGGTATATGGATTTCTATTTTATAGAAGAGGACCCTGAGACTAAGAAGGGTTAAGTACTTTTCCCAAGGCCACACAGCTAATCAACCACAGTTCTGGGGCTTAGAACCTGAGTCTTGACCCCTAGTGCATTAAACCACACCGCCTTTCTCAATTTTGTGTTCTATGTGTTACAGGAATTTGCATCAAAATCATCTGGATTTTTCATGATGGGAAAGGATAATTTAATTTCCTTTCACATTTTCCCTTTACTCTATACCCTAAATGCTCTAACCTATGACTTGGCATTTGAAAAACATCCTGACCTATTTCACCAAAACATTTCTCCTAGATGATCAATTCTGTACCTTCATTTCTGAATCTGGCTGGGTCTACCTGAATGGAAACAAAATGCTTAATGACAACAGTTGTGACCTTAACTCTTAGTCAAGTCTATTTATGAAGTGGCACAATTCAAGCAATAGAAATTTTCTGGTCTTGATGGTGTCACAGTCTGGTTGACCCAACGGAGTACTTTTGAAGCTATTAAAAGTTTTAAGACATAGCCCATGAAAAAGTGACTTGTTGGCACCCAGATCATGCACATAACTCACTTATACAATGCTGAATGTAAACAATATTACCATAAAAACAATATAAGTCAGGTTAGGTCTTAGGAGTCAAACCCACTGTTCTTTGCAGTCCTAAGGCAGCTGCCACTTAAAGGAAAGTCGTATCAATTTATAACAAACAGAGTTCTAAGAATAAAGAGGGACTCAGGTCTTTATACCATAACATGAACTACAAAACTATTTGCTATCAAGTTATCTTATGCTGCAGTACAGATGACGATTTTTTAAAAATAACAAGATGTCTATGGATTTTTAGTGATAAGAATGTAAAAAAACATATCAGGGTCACCATTTTTAATATACAATCTGCTTTTCGTGCCTGTAAGAGAAGTGGTCAAATTTGTTTCCTATTGAACATTACGTTCTTAGATAGAGTCACAAAACTCCTCTGCAATGAGGATTTGTTGCTCAAAGGTTTAATTTGTTATCTTTATTATCTTTTCTTGGAGCCTTAGCTGTACAAAACAAAACAAAAAAAAGGTACAAACAACTGCATTTTTGTTCTTAGAGTTATGGCACATGGCCATTTTTCTTAATTATTCTTGTCATTTCACCTGTAACACTAGTTGTTTTGATGGAAGGGAGGAAAAAAATAGCTTCTTGACAGACTTTCTTTTCTACTTTTCCAAGTAGCTCATAGAATGATCGATGAAGTATCCAGAATAATTAAGAAAAATACACTTCTCACAATGTTAGCATTTAAAAAATAATAATTTCTGTCTGAATCCAAATGTGTGATCATGTGTGTGTGTGTTTGTGCGTGTGTATGTGTTTCAAAAGTATGTTTGCTCTGCAGATGTTTTAAAAAAAAATCAACCTTATATATATATATTTTTTACCCATTTGTGAAATAATCATTGGCTACAGTTAACATTTTCAAGTGCCACCCCTTTCCTCTCTTATGTACTTTTTTCTTCTCTTTCTGTACCTCAGATTCCCAGCATCTGGCTGGATAAAAATCATCCACAGTTCACTTGTAGAAATTTGCATGCAAAATGAAAGAACAAGAAGGGGAAAAAGTGCCATTTATTTTAGGTCTATTGCTAAATTTTTTATAAACCTAAACTGACTTCTAAAGTGACACAAGATGTATATGTTGGTGGGTGAATATGTTAATTTATTATTATTTTGGGGGGGGGGTTGTTACAGTGCTTAACAGGCATGATTGAAAGTAATTGAATTATCTGTATTAGCAAAATGGTATTTTAGATAAAGAGGCTCTGGACAAGAAACAAAATCTTAGAATGAATGCTTTGACCAGGATCATACATGCTTTCATTGGTTGCTGGTTTGTTTTATAATTGTTCCAGGGTTCAAGGAAGGGAACATGGTGATCGATCCATAAATTCTACAGCTCTCCACAATGAACTCAGAGCATCTACATCCTCATAGACTTGTGGAAAAATAAGACATGTATAGTTGACTCTTTTCTCATAGTAACTGAAAAGTGGTTTTCTCTCTCAAGCCTATATTCTGATTTTCAGAAATGTTTATGCACACTATAGAAACGTCACATATTTGCTCATAACCTCTTAGACACATTGAAGCCATCTTAAACTCTACCTACTGTGATATTTTTTGACATACTGCTTTTTAAAACACTTCTTAGTATTGCAGTAGCCAATCTGAAGGAATGTCAAAGAACACCAGCACCAAAGAAGACTTCAATCAAACTCTGCTGTCAACTGAACAAACCAACAAAGCGGATGATCTCATTGAGACGGTGAGAGCTTTCTCACTGTATATTAAAGGATCTAGCAGATCACCTTTTCACTTGGGGAGGGTAACATACTCTATACCTTTCAGCTCATTCTTTCCTAGGGAAATTTGCCAATTGTTTGGCTCAGGAATTCACAAGATAATTGTATTTAAAAATATTATTAAACATATTTAACTTGCATAATAGGCATATCTATCTTATATACATTAATAGATATATTTAACCTGCAGTATTAAGGAACCTTTAACACTTAGATCAGACAGTCTGTGTACAAGGAGAGATACATACATTTGTGAAGGAATGATATAATGGAAAGATTGGGATCTGCCCTATATATTTTTTAGGTGTTTATGTTAATAAATCAGGGAAGGTTTCCAGCCAAAATAGAATTGCTTGTTTGTTCATCTCATGCTTGATATTTGGCAAACTAACCACGACCTATTAGAAAATGATATACTGGAGAGACTCAAGGCCAAGGCCCCTACCACTGAACCACGTTTTCAACAATAAGACAGGCTACAGATTCTGTGAGGTTTAACAGAGCTATTTCAAGCTTCAATCACAGCTTACCCAGATCACTTTGAACAAATCAATCTCACTGTCTCTCAGTTTATCATCTGACAATTGAAAATATTAACGCTGCTAGTATGCTTCCTCCAAGAATTAAATAAAATATATGAGAAGTCTCAAAGAAGTGTGCAAATGAAAGATCATTGATCTTCACTCACAGCTTCAATCAGGTTAGCATCCTGCCTTGTCTTTTATCCTCCCTTAACCTTTACACTTGACATCAGCACGTGATCAAGAGGGGTAAACAAATTTTGCATAAATATAGTTAAGTCACTTGTATACATCAGTTGGAATCACTATCCAATCCACTTAAGATCTACACCCCTGTAGTCTTTAGAAGATCATAACTGATAGGGCCAATAATATACTTTAGAAGTTATTTGGAAGTTAAGTGGGCAAGAGATGGCATCCAGAATACATGAATGGGATGTAAATTTTTCTCAGAGTCCAAGAATAGGGGCAGAATAAAATTTGGTTGCTAGCTTACGAATTTTTGAATAATATGTTAAATGTTCAGAATCAAAATAACCTTATAGCTATTCTCTTTCTTTACTTTTAGGTAATGAATAAATACTTTTATATATTTTCTCCTTTGATATAGTGTTTTATAGCAATAAAAATCAAAAGAGAAGATTTGTACCATGCTAAAAATATTACCAGATTAGTAAATTCTGATTTGAAATCTATAAAAGAAAAGTACAGGAATTTTAAAATTTTAATATGGAATTTTTAAAATGTTGCTATGTGTTATACTGGTTACAGAGACTGATGAAATGATAAATGAAAAATTATCTATAAAACACTGCAAAATTGGTTTTTAAAATATCATATAGTACAATGCCCCTAGTACGTGAAAGGTTTAAATTACTTTCAGTTATAAGGCTGCCCCATTTTAAGGACCACATTAGCTTTTTTTTTTTTTTTTTTTTTACAGTGTTCAGTTGAAAAGAGTTTTGCTTTCTTTATTAAGTGAAGAATCATTTTCTGAAAATGACCGTCCACAAAAGCTAACTCTTGATTGACAGCCATGGTGAAGAGGGCCTCTCTCTCTAAGGTGCTATAGCTCATAATCCTTCTGTCTGTACGACATTTCTGTTAAACAGGCCAAAGTTTTTGTAAATAACTTATCTACAGTATGCGAGAAAGTTTGGACTTTGGGACTCCATCAGACATTCCTGCTAATGCTAATAATTGGAAGATGGCTTCTACCCATTGGAGGCGGGATTACTCGGGATCAACTCTCTCAACTTCTTCTTATGTTTGTGGGGACAGCTGCTGACATACTGGAATTCACAAGTGAGACCCTGGAAGAAGAAAATGTGAGGTAAGAAGGCCCTGCAATGAAAAGACCTTCTTTTCAAGGTCAGGCCCACACACCTGTCTTTTTGTTCTATTATTTGTATTCTGCATGAATAAGGATTTTCAGTAGATCATATATCCAGTGCTAGAATCATAGAATTGGTTGCTGTTCAGGTACATGGTAGGTACCAGCCCCCTAACACACACACACACATATACATATGTATGTATATACATACATATGTATTACCATATATATATAAAAACTTTATATATGAATACGTAAAGGATGTTGCTGCTAGAGAAAAGGGGCAAATAATATTACCCATGGGTAAGAACAGAGAAGCTCTGACTGTTTGCATGACCACAGATTAGGTGAAGCCGTGGTTATCCGAAAACCTTCTGAGGGTGGAATGACCATCCCTAGCTTCTCTTTCACATGCTCAAGTGTCCAGGAATGTAGCCAATCATAAGAGTCTCTTCTAGAGCAGAGCAAAGCTACCATTCCAGGGAAGAACCTACAGGTGACATGGAGAAATCACTCCTCTAGCCAGCTGGGGAATTTATATTCCCTGACATAAATGCAGAATGGGGCAGATTAGGTTTTATTTTACTAAATTTTATTTTTAGTCAGTTTTGTTCGAAGTGCCCAAAGGCTATCCGGTGTAGATGCCTATAAATTAAAACTTATTGAGTTGGTACTTTTATTTTTGCCACAAGCAAATAAACTCAGAATCCCTGATCACAGCTGCTTATGGAACAACTTTCTTACCTTTAGGGATTTAAGTCTCAGTGCCTAAATGTACTTTCAGCTTTGGTTGTTTTGCACTATGCTATAAAAATAAATTGCAATGAGGCTGGCTTTTAATTCTACATTTTATGCTGTGTTTCTCAAACAATGAAACATAAAACTGAGCAAAATACACTAACTTACTGAGTAAACTTACTACCCCAGTTGTGGTACAAAGTGTATCTGTAACCACAGCCTACCTTCACATGATCATTTCCTGTTCCATTTCTACTGAGTTTTCTTATACTGTAAGTAGACGTAGAATTTTAAAAAGAATCCAGTCTAAGTTGACCCACTGTGCTCAGAATGTTGACTTTAGCTTTGTAGCTTTAATACCAAAGATTTGGTCAGTGCTTCACATTGTATAACATATTTTCAGATACATTAGAATACTTACAGTACAATGAGGTTACAAGAAAATCATGAAGAAATCATGACCGAGCACATAAAAGCAATAAATAACTACGGGCACAGTGATACGGACATGACAATATAAGGATGACTAATTCTATCTAAATAGAAGTAGACACATAAATGCCAAATATCTAGTGAGATGCATGGGAAATAGGGTAGGAGAAGGGGTTCAGGAGGAATATGCTTTGAGGGGCTGGTTATAAAAATGTGAGAAACGCCAAACTCAGCTACCTTAATGGCCTGTTTATGAGGCCCATCCACAAGTGACACCAAGAGGCATTTTATAGATCAGTGTTTCCCAACAGATGTTGAATATTAAATAAGTTAATGATTAAAACGTCAATCTCCGGGGGGGGGGGAATACCTTGAAAATTACGAGGGATCATTCATGCACCAACTCTTGACTGATCGTCTAGTGTGGGCCAGGTAGTGTGCTAGTGCTAGTGGAGACTGGGGAGCAAATGGTGAGCAAGTGATGAAATAAAGGACACACGATCCTATCCCAACCCAGGTAATTTCAGTTCAGCAATTTCTTCACCCACCAATACATTAATCTGAGTGTTTTATAAATCGTTTTTTCTCATTTTAAACTTATACCATGTCCTGAGAATAGAACTGAATAAACTCTGCCCAGGTTATTGTTTTTAAGTTTCTTTTCAGGTTTCATGATCTCAGATGAAATCTTTTTTTTTTTAATGTAACTGCATTGTGTCAGCGACCTTCTGTGGTCTCCACTAGACTCCTGCATGTCTCCATCATGACCCAAAGACTCCAAAATCAAGGCCCAGAGAGAACTGAGAGTTTTTATTTCCCTCCTAAGGCTCACCTCCCAAGTTCTGATTTCATCTCAGGCCCCATCTATACTGCAGGAATTAACACTGCAAATTTCCATCTCTTCAAAGGAAATATTAAACCCTTCTCACTGTAGTGTAGCTTTCCTCTTTGGCCTCAAAAAGACAATCATGAAGCATAAATTTAATATACATGTAAAAGATGTTTACATGTAATATAGCAAAGGGGGTTACTTCATTATAACCGACTTAGCATCACTTATTATTAAAACATTTTCTTTCCCTTTTTATTTTATTCCATAATTTGAGCTGATAGGTTTAAGAGAAAACCTGCAATAATGTCTACATCACAATGATGTCTACATCTTTCTCCTGCATCCTGGTTAATACCTCAAATCCAGTTTTGTTTTAACCTAAATCAACTTCCTTCCGCATGCCCACATGAAGTTCATCTTCCTAATTCTTATGAATTTACATGGACTTGTGAGATATGGCAAACTTTTTGTAACAGCTTCACTTTACACACCATATAATTCATCTATTGTAATTCTACGGTTCAATGATATTTAATAAATGTATAGATTTGTGAAACTATCACCAGAATCCAGATTCCTTGTGTCTGTTTGCAGTCAATTCTCCCTGCCACTGCCAACCCTAGGCAACCACTGATATGCTTTATGTCTCTATAGAAATTCCTTTTCTAGAAATTTCATGCAAATGGGATTGTAAAGTTTGTGGTCTTTGTGTCTGGTCTTTTCACGTAGCATAATGTTTTTTTGGTTCATTTCCACTGTTGCATGTGTGGGTAGTTAGCTCCTTTTTAATTGCTGAATAGTATCCCATGTATATACCACATTTTATTTATCCATTCAGTAGTCAATATACATGTGTATTTCAATTTTCTTGCTATTGAGAATGGTATTGCTATGAACACTCAGTTACAAGCCTTTGTATGGATCTGTTTTCATTTCTCTTGTATAGATACCTAGAAGTAGAATGACTGGATTTTATGTTAAGAAAACTGACAAACTGTTTTCCAAAGTGGCTATACCTTTTTATATTCCAATCAGCAATGTGTGAGAGTTCCATTTTCTCAACATCCTCACCAACACGTTTTTTTTTCAGTCTTTTTGATTATAACCATTCTAGTGGGCTCACAGTAGCAACATATTGTGGTTTTAATTTGCATTTCCCTAATGCCTAACGACGTGTAGCATCTTTCCATGTGCTGATTAGCTATCCATATATCTTCCTTGGTGAAGTATCTGTTCAAATTTTTGCCCATTTTTCATTGGATTAATTTTTATTGAGTTTTAAGAGTTCTTTATATATTCTGGATACAAGTCTGGTATTAGATACATAATGTAAATATTTTCTCCCAGTATATAATTTTTCATTTTTTAATGTTGTCATTTGAATAACAATTTTTTTGAATTTTGATAAAATCCCATGTATCATTTTTTCTTCTCTGTAGTGCTTTGGGAATCATAGATTCTAAGAAATATTCTCCCCATCAAAAATTAGAAATATTTTCCTGTGTAATGTTTTCACTTAATTTTTGTGTACCATGAGGTAAGGGTCTAAGTTCATGTTTTGTCTTGTTTCATTTTGTGTTTTGGCATTATCCCAGCAGTATTTTTTGTCCCAGCTAGGACCAACTGTCTCAGCACCATTTGTTGAAAAGACTGTCCTTTCCCTATTAAATTGCCTTGGTATCTTTGTCAAAAATCAATTGACCACATACGTAAGGAGTTTTTCTGGACTTTCTATTGTGTTTCATTGCTCGGTGTGTCTATCTTATGCCAGTACCACGTTATTGAGATTACTGGAATTTTATGGTAAGTTTTGAAACTGGATACTGTAAGCCCTCTAACATTATTCTTTTTTCAAAAACTGTTCTTATTTTTCTAGATCCTTTGCATTTCCATGTAAGTTTTATAATTAGCTTGTCAAATTCTACAAAAAAATCCTGCTGGGGTTTTGATAAGGACTGTATTAAATCTAAGCATTAATTTGTGAAGAAGTGGCATCTTAATAATATTAAGTCTTTCAATTCATGAACATAAACTATCTCATCTTTTATTCAGATGTTCCTTAACTTCTCTCAGCAATGTTTTATAATTTTCAATGTATAGGTCTTGCACCACTTTTCCTAAATTTATTCCTAAATATTTTTCTTTTTGATAGAGTCATTTTCTTAATTTCTTAGTATCATTTTCATGTTTTTTATTACCACTATGTAGAAATACAGTTGACTTCTGTGTGACAACCTTGTACCCAGAAACCATGCTAAACTTGCTTATTAGTTTTGTAGACTCCTTAGGGCTTTCTACATATGGGATAATGTTATTTGCAAGCAAAGATATTCTTGATTCTTTCTAATCTGTACGCCTTTTATTTCTTTTTCTTGCCTTATTGCACCAGCTAGAATTTCTTGTACAATGTTCAACAGAAGCATATGAGTGGACCTTTCAATCTCAAAGGATAAGCATTCTGTCTTTCACTATTAAGGATGATGTTAGCTATAGGTTTTGCACAGATATTTTTAATAGATGCCCTTGATCAGTTGGAGGAAATCCCTATCTAGGTTACTCAGAGTTCTTTCTTTTCTCTCTCTCTCTTTTTCTATGGACACTGAATGTTGTTAAATGCTTTTCTGTTTTTCTTATGATCATTGTGTGGTGGCATCTTTATTTTTTTTTGCAGTACACGGGCCTCTCACTGCTGTGGCCTCTCCCATTGCGGAGCACAGGCTCCGGACACGCAGGCTTAGTGGCCATGGCTCACGGGCCCAACCGCTCCATGGCATGTGGGATCTTCCCGGACCGGGGCACGAACCCGTGTCCCCTGCATCAGCAGGCGGACTCTCAACCACTGCGCCACCAGGGAAGCCCTGGTGGACTATCTATTATTCTATTAATATGGTGTATTACATTAACTACTTTTCAGATGTTAAATCAACCTTGACTTCCTGCGATAAATATCACTTGGTTATGGTGTATAATCCTTTCTATATGTTGCTGAATTTGG